GAGGGGCCTGGCCGCCCCGCCCCAACTCGGAATCCTGGAGAAAAGAGTGGAACGGGACCGTGGATCCCAGGAGCGCGTGGCTGGGCCCTGGGGTGGGCCCGCGGCGTGAGGGGTCACTGTTCTGGCAGCACGGGAAGCCAGTGACCCAGAGTGGGGGCCAAAAGGGGAGCCATTGGCCACCTGGGCTTCAAATTCCGTCAACTGGGGCGGGAGGTGGCGGGGGTCGGACAGCCCCAGAAGGCGCAGCCGCACTTTCCACCCACCCACCGCCTCTGCCCCCACTTCCTGTTTCCGCTGCCTTGGTGCCCCAAATCTGCCCCCTCGCTCAGCCTTGGGCATGCCGTGCAGGTCGTAACTGCAAACACCGCTGCCCTGCGCCTCCCTGGGCTGCGCCCCTAGGGTCTTGTCTCCAGTGCCCCCGCAGGCAGGCGTCCTTCCAGCCCAGTGAGCCCCACAGTCCGGGAGCCTGGCGCTGCAGCAATAGATGACAGCTACCCCCAAGCGTGGTCCCTCCACCTCCGTTTTGGCATCCCCAGTGTCCAGGGCCGCAGTGCCCAGAATGCTGGGGTGCAGGCTGGTGAACCTCGTTCCTGAGCTCAGGCAGAGGTTCGAGGGGAGCAGCTTGGCAAGAACATACCGAGGTGAACCAGAGAGCCCAATATGAGGTCGGCGGCGTTTCTGGCTCCTGGCTGCTGGACTGGCGCACCCCGCCTGGCAGCCCCCAGCCCAGTCCGGCCTCGGCTCCGCCCCTTTCGCCTGCGACTCTGTGACTCTGTCCACGTGACAGCTTCGCAGTCGGGCTGTTAGGTGACAGTTAGGACAGGGCTGTGTTTAGGTGACCTCAGGGAGCACCTCCCTGGATCAGTTCCCCTACACCCCAAAAATTAACTACCCCTGCCTGACGCCCTCCTGCCAGTGCTGGGAGAAGGAGCAATGGGGTCTGCACGCCCGCAGGGGTCCAATTCTGTTCCGTCTTGGCCCATTGGACGTGTGTTGCCTGGCCCCTGGGTCTCTCCCTGTCAAGCCTGCATTCGGGCCAGGCAACGGACACGAGGCACAGAAGGGGAGAATGGGACGTTGCCAGGAAAAGGCCAGCTCACCCTGCCGCGAGTCCAAGGACCTGGATTCAGGTCTTCACCCAGCCCTGCACGGCTGGGTTTGGTCTCGGCGTCCTCAGCCGTGAAATGGGAAAATAAGGGGTTGACGTGGGGATCTAATACAAGCACAGTAACAGGCCTGACCTTCCTGCACCCTGCGTGGGTGCGGGACCACGAGCCGGGGACTTGGAAACGCAGCTTCTAAGCTGGGATGCTGGCGCAGGCCTGCCACCCTGACACCCTGGGCAGCCAAGGAAAGACAATTACAAGTTGGAGCCAACCCTGGGCAACTCAGTGACACTGTCGAAATTTAGAACGAGGGGGATGGATGAAGTTTAGTCGAAAGGCCCAGTGCTGGGGTGGGTCATCCCAGGACCATCGGCTGCCTGAGACAGGCTGAGAGGTCTTCACGTGGTCTGATTTTTGACGTGCCCTGAGGACCACGGCGGCCCTCCGCGCTGTGTGAGGCTGGCTGGCTGTTTTTCACGGTGCTGGGGCCAGGACCCAGGACCTCGCACTGTGCCCCAGCCACGCGGTCAGTGTGCGGAGGCCGGTGCATAGTGGAGGCGGCTGAGGCCGTGGGTGCCCGGAGGGGCGAGGGGGAGGCTGTTGGAGGGGCTGCTGGAGGGGCGGGAGGCTTTTTGCCCCCTGGGAGGGAGATGTGGGAAACCTCTTTTCCTCTTTCCCTTCCCTGGCACCCCTGGGTTTCACCTCTCTCAGGCTTCTCAGTCTCCAAACCACAGCAGAGCCTGTGTGAGAAAGGAAGGCGGATGTGAAGTCCAGGGGTTCCCGACCCGGAGGAAAGCGCCCTCCAGGAGCCCCGGCCCAGGGGAGGCCCGAGTCTGAGCCCTGGCCTGGCCTGGCCTGGCCGCCCTTGTTCCCTAGGACCCTGCCCTGCCTCTGCGCTCCCGCCTCGGTGTCTTCTGCTTCCAGCTCTCCCCCAGGAGGCTCTCATCTTGGTCCAGCCCCCCACCCCACTCCCAGCTCCTCAGCCGCTGTGGCACAGAGGAAGGCAGGGAGGGGAGAAGGCGATGGAGACCTAGGAAGAGTGAAGAAAGGAGAACGAGGCTTTGCGAGACAAACCCTAGAAAAACTTAAGAACCCTCCCTAGAGGGCCTCGCGTTTCCTCTACCATTTGCATCTTTTCTTCTCCCACACCCCCAAGGTACCGAGCTGCTCCCCAAGCACTACACTTCGTGTGCCCTCTACAGGCTGGGACACTGGCTTTAAACTCAGCCAGCTGTCCCTTCCTCCGTCCCCACAGCGCAGCTGGCACTGTACCTCCAGGTTCCTGCAGGGAGTGACTGGCTTGGGCCACGCATGCAGCAAGTGCCGCGCTGCTGTGAATGGCTCCGATCAGGGAGCCCTTGGTTCCTGTACTGACTGGGACACACCGGGGAGCTGGGCAACGTTTCTGCTGTGAGGTATCAGGCTGAGGACTGACAGAGGCGAGAAGGACCACTTACCCTGGGGGAAGGATCTTACCCCGCTGGCCATTCAAGCATCTAGTCCTGTCCGCTTATCTTCAGTAATCCCCTCAAATCTGTCCGATCGGTCCCTGCACCTCCTCGGCTCAAGCCACCCCGGGACCGCTCGGCTGTCTTCCAGGTGGCAATAGCTGAAGAGGCGGGAACAGCCTCCTCTCACACATGCTGCCCAGGGAAGACAGGGTTTGTTGTGTTTTCAGTACTGGGATTGAATCCAGGGGCTTTGCGCTGAGCCACAACTCCAGTCCTTCTTAATTCAGTTTGAGACAGGGCCTCACTAAATTGCTAAATTGCCCAATTTGCAATCCCCCTGCCTCAGCCTCCCACAGTGCTGCGATTACAGGCGTGTGCCACCACACTGTTTAAAATGGATCTTTTTAAAATGCAAATGTTATGCTTTCAATGACCGAGTTTAAACCCATTCAAAGGTTTGCGGCTGATCTTAGGTTACAGCCTCCAGCCCTTCCCTGGCCTCTCAGGACCCGTGAAGCATGGCCCCACCCCTCCAGCCTCGGGGCCTCACCCCTCTTTCTGTGTGCTGCAGGTCCTGTCTGTATGGAATTTTCTCCTGCAGGGACCCAAAAGCCTCCCACTCTATTCCTCCCTTGACTTCTCAGTTCTTAACATTTCCCTGGGGAGGTCCCTGCCCCTCTTTCAGGGTTGGATTCCCACCTCGGAGCACTCTCCCCGGGGTGCAGGCAGCACGCTGGCAGTTGTGAATTTGCAGGTGACTGACTGAGGTCAGCTTCTTCCTATTGATCAGAGGCTCTCTGGAGGCTGGGAACACAACTGCAGAAGCGCCCTCTCTCCTGGCCCCTGGACTCAGCCCTGGACACCCACAGATCCAGGCTGAAGAAATGCTTCGGTATCTGGCTGCAGGGAGAGGGGCAGGGCTGCAGACTTCAGGATTATAGAGGGGGCGGGTGGAGGTCGCCCTTCTGGCTCTGGGGCCCACTGCTGCTCCCTTGACACCATTACTCCCTGTATTCCCAGCATCCCAGGCCATGGCACCCTTCGCCAGCCTGTGAGACGCCCCCTCTCCGGTCTCCTCTAACGACTCAGCATGCTTGTCTGGCTCCATTTTGTCTCTTTCAAAAACCAGTGTGGAATAAAGAAGCAAGAACATGCAGACCAGAAACTTAGGACTCCATAACTAAATTAGGCTGGGCATAATGGTGCACTTGGGAGGCTGAGGCAGGAGGATCATTGTGACTTTGAGGCCAATCTAGGCTACAAAGTGAGTTTAAGGCCAGCCTGAACTGCATAGTGAGACCCTGGCTCAAAAAGACAGGCTGAGGATTTAGCTCAGCGGCGTATGCACCCGCCTTGCAAGTGTGTGGTTGTGAGTTTGACCCCTGGTACCGATAAAAAAGAAAAAGACAAAAAAAAAAGACACACACACACACACACTAAAAGTTCTGTTGCCCTCATCAACTAAGAATATTTGAGAAAATATGAAAATTTAAATATGTGTTTGCATCTCAAAAGGGAAGTAAAACCCAGGTTCTAGAAAAAGAAGAAACTGAGAACTAGCGGATGAGCCGACTGTGAACAGGTCTCTGTAAGCTGGTTGCTAACGGCTTGGGGTTACGACCCTAGATAGGTCAGGACCCTAGATAGAAAATGAAGCCTTGGCCTAATAAGGTGGGGGAAATGGATGACAGACAGCTAAGGATGATTTTTTTAAAAACCAGAGAGCCCGGGGTTTAGCTCAGTGGTGTAAGCACCTGCCTGGTAAGCGTGAGGTCGTGAGTTCAATTCCAGGTACCGAAAAAGAGAAAAATAAGAAAGAAGCAGAAAAACAAGCCAGGAGTGGTGGAGCACAGGTGTAATGTCAGCATCTGAGGACATGAGGATTGCTGAGTTTGAGGCCAGACTGGGGTACATGGCGAGACCTTGTCTCAAAAAAGAACAAGAAAGAAATAAAGAAAAGAGGGAAGGAAGGAGAAAAACTGAATAGACATGAATTCTAAAGACCTGAATGACAAGTTGGAAATGTGCAAACAGACAGCACCCAGATGGCTCGTCACAGTCTTCTGGCCACGGTTACAGGGGCTGTTTACTCACATAAACCCTCCACGCATCAGGAAAAAGGGGCCAGTCAGCCTTCTAAGGCTGCAAGTCCTAAATAAAATAATTAGTAAACTGAGTCCAGCAGTGTATGTGTGTACATACACACATGTGTGTTAGGGAATGATGGTGCAGGGTTCATTCTAGGAATGCAGAGACAGTCTGCTTTAAAAAGTGAATGAGGCCAGGCACAGAGGCACATACCTATAATTCCAGCACTAGGGAGGCTGAGGCAGAGGATTGCTGGGTGTTCATGGCCAGTCTGAGTTATATAATGAGTTCAAGGCCGGTCTAAACTACTGTCTTAGTTCCTTTCCCTTGTTGCTGAGGCAAAATACCCAACACGTTAAAAAGGAAAAGTTTATTTTAGTTCACAGTTTGTAGAGGTTTCAGTCCATACGCAGTTGGCTCCAAGGCAGGGTGGGATGGCAGAGAGGCGTTGCAAAAGAGAAACAGATCATGGCAGGCAAAAGACAGCAAGCAACAAACTACAAGTATCCAGCAACAAGCCTCTTTCGGTCCCTGCTATTGTACCCCTGATCCCCTCCTTAGAGCAGCTAGCACTCACACCTTAATCCTAGCATTACACTACAAATGTCATAGACTCCAGATCCTCTGGAAAAGCCCCGCCTGTGACCACATGAGGGTTTTGGGGGGACATCTAGAAACAAACCATAATGTTATATCCCCAGCCCCTCAAAGATTCAAGTACTCCGTTTGTGCAAAAGGCATTCAGTCCGTGTTGAAGAGCTGGCAAAGTCAGCCTTGCTGAAAAGTCCAAGTCCCAATCTCTTCTGAAATTTAAGGCAAACTCTTAGCTGCAAGGCCCCATACAATGAAAGATAGATTCCGACATTCAATGGCACAGGATAAACACTCCCATTCCAAAAGTGCAAACGGGGATACAAAGAGGATACAAAGGAATGGGATCAAAACAAGTCCAAAATCCAGCAGGGCAAACATTAAAACCTGTGCGGTATCTGAGGCAATCTGTGGCAAGATGTGAACTCCAAAGAGCTTGGGCAGCTCCACCCCTACCGCTCTGCAGGTGGTTGTAGCTCTCATGGCCTCTCTCTTGAGCCGGCTTGCATTTTTACACAGAGGACCCACGCTCCTGCCTTCTCCAGACTTCTGGGATCTCCACTGCACCTCTGGCTTCACACTCACAGCTTCACACACTGTCTTCTCAGAAGCTCATTGCCAAACCTCCCAGGCTTCTTCTAAAATTTGGGTGGAAGTTTCCCAATCCCAGAACTCTTGCATTCTGCATGCACCTAAAACTAGCGCCACATGGATGATGCCAAGATCTGCTGCCAGTTGGAGCAGCAGGCAGGCTGTCCTCTGTCTTGGCCATAGAGGTTGAGTGCCTGCGAACCAAATGCAGAGAAATAACTTCCCTAAGCTGGTGCTATTCTGGAACGTGATGCTCTGAGGCTCTATTAACAAGGTAATTTGAGACTACAAAGAGTGGAGTCCTGCTGCTTCTTGTGATGCCCTCAGGCCTTGTGTTCTATTCTCCTGTTCCTTCTCAGCAAGTAAGATCTCCTCTGCTCTATCTTTCCAGTCCATAGCTTTACTGGAGTTTCTTTTTTTTTTTTTTTTTTTTTTTTTTTTTTTTTGAGACAGGGTCTCACTATGTAGTTCAGCCTGGCCTTGAACTCACTTTGTAGCCCAGGCTAGCCTCAAACTCACAGTGATCTTCCTGCCTCAGCCTCCCGAGTTCTGGGATTACAGATGTGCACCATCACACCTGGCCTCTGGAGTTTCCTTTCTGGCCAACCTACCCACATTTTAAGTCATTTCCCTGGACTCTTTGTTCTTGATTTTGAACATAGAACTGGCTAAAAGCCTCTAACAGCAGCCATGCCATGATCTCAATGTTAGACTGCCTTGACATTTCTTCTGCTACATTAATTAATCCATCACCCTTAATCTCAGTCTCAGGCAAAAACTCTGGACATGAGAAAAATGCAGACAAACTTTCTGCCAAGGCATAACACACATCATCTGGAGTTCAACAGCCAGTGAAGGCTTTCTTCCTAGCACAAACCTCCTGAGTCTGGTCTTGACCGGTACCATTTCTATCAGCCTTCTGGTCTTCTGAGCATGACCAGAATCTCCCATCAAGTACACTTTAAGGAGTTCCAGGGCTACTTTTCCAAAAAGCATCTCCAAACTTTTCCAAACTCTTCCCACAACTCTTTCCTAAAGGCTCCTAAACCACCAGGTAACATCACAGCAAGGACCCCACTTCTCTGGTTTCAAATTCTGTTGTAGATACTTTTCTTGTTGCTGAGACAAAATACTCAAAGTTAAAGAAGAAAACGTTTATTTGGCTCACAGTTCATAGAGACTCCTGCCGCAAGACAGGTGGCATGGCAGAGGGGCATCACAGAAGGAAGACAGTTCACATCAGAAAGACACAGCAACAGCGAGCAGTCAGCAATGGCAGCTTCTTTCTGATCCTTTTATATTTCACATGGGAGCCAAACCAATCAACAGCCTGAGCTAATGATCACACAGTCTCAGTCTCAGCACCACACAGTCTAGATCCAGGCACCCTCTGAAAAGCATCCCCATGACTGCATGAGGCTTCAGGGGGACAAATGATAACAACTACACAGCAAGACCCTGTCTCAAAAAATATTATCAGTGAGATATACAGAACTGACACATTAGAAGGTAAACATATATGATTAGTTCAACAAGTAAGGAGAACTCAGTGGATAAAGCTTAACACTAATTCACAATTTTAAAAAAGTTTCTAAGGTTGGAAATGCAGCTCTGGTAGAAAACTTGCCTGGAATGTGCAAAGGTGTGGGTTTAAGCAAAAAGAAAAAACATCTGTCTATGGCCATACCACCCTGAACGTGCCCAATCTCGTCTGATCTTGGAAGCTAAGCAGGGTCGGGCCTGGTTAGTACTTGGATGGGAGACCACCTGGAACTACCGGGTGCTGTAGGCTTAAAAAAAAAAAAAAAAAAAGAAAGAAAGAAAAAACATCTAATTGGCTAGCAATGAGAGACTTTTCCAAACCGAGATGAAGACAGCAGATTTCCCTGTTTCTGTTCAACTTCATGCTGGGACTGGGTGGGATGAGCTGATACACTGAGAAAAAGAAATATGGCTAGGCATGGAGACCCATGCCTGTAATAGCAGCACTTAGGAAGCCACAGCAGGACACTCACCACAAGTTTGAAGCTAGCCTGGGCTCCATAGTGAGATCTTGTCTCAAAAATACAAAAAAGAAAAAAGAAAGAATGAAAAGAGAGAGAGAAAGAAAGCCATCACTATAAATGGTGATTGCTAACCGCAGACTGATCACTGTATCTCAGGATATACAATTTATAAGGAATCTACAAGTTACTAGAACACACACTTTTCTCAGAACCAGATGAACACCTGAAACACCAATGTGCTATCCTACAGCGACGAACACATAGAATATTTCATTTTGAGAAATGCCATTTGTAAAAGCAACAAAAACCACAGGATACTTAGGAATAAATATAAGAGAATATGTTGATGGGAGAATTACACAACTTCCTTGGAGAACATAAAGAAATGGAGAGACATATCATGCCTATGAAGAGGAAAACTCAACACCCCTTTCCCCTAAAGAACATATCTGCAAATAAATTTCAGATAGCTTATGGATGTGAAAATAAAACTTACAATTGTTCAAAGAAAATATAAGGCGATATCAGAGTACGGGAAAATTTTAGACAAGTTACAGAAAGCACAAACAATTCATATTGTAAAGATCATATCAACAGATGCAGAAACAAAAAATATCCAAATAGAAGAGGAAGGAGCTGAATTGTCAGTGTTTACAGAGGACATGGTCATACGTATAAACTCTAGACTCATCTGCTGATTGACAACCACCACAATCCTGTCTTCCAGACCTGATATTCTGTCTCCACACTGGTTGACTGCTGGGTATACTTTCAGAGGCATATTTAATTTCCTGGATTTCTATTTGAGTCTGATTTATGAAATACAGTTCTTTTCTATGTTGGACATTTGTGGTCTCCATGTCTTTCCTTGGGCCCTCTATTTTTTTTTTTTTCTGAATCTACTCTAGACCTACTAATCATTTCCTTCTTTGTGACTATCATCTCTTTATCTCTGTTCTGTTTTTGTCAAGAGACTTATTGATCTGCTTTGTTACTCCCACTGCTACCGTTTCATAAAATTCAGATGAGTAGCTTTTGACTTCCCCAACCTCAACGCCCCCTTGATTTTCCTCGGGTGAAATGGGGATTATGAGTTACATCTTGCTTCCATGTTTTCTCACTTGCTATTTTGTTTTGTTTGTTTTCTGCATTAAGGCTTGTAAATTGCTTACAGTAGGTAGCTTTATTACTACTTTTAAAACTTCTTTAGGAAATGATTACTTTTGGGCTGGAGATTTAGCTCAGCGGTATAAGCGCCTGCCTTGCAAGCAGACAGTTGTGATTTCGATCCCTGGTACCCATAAAAATGAAAAAGACAAAAAAAAAATGAAACGATTACTTTTCAGAGGTGTCTTCTAGGCAGAGCTGGCTTTAGGCTTTTGAGTATGTCCCAGGATCCTGCCTCTGCAATTTATCAGGGATGAAAGACTGCTGCCTGCGTGGCTGGCACCCAGTGCTTTGGAACTGGACTACACTATTAGGTTCCCCAGACAAACTGGGCATGAGCATACAAGGAAGAGCAGTTGAGCACAACTATGTCATCTTGGCTAATGTAGTGTAATCAATAATAATAATACCATCAAGGGCTGGGGATGCAGCTTGGCAGCAGAGCACCTGCCTGGCAAGCGCAAGGTCCTGAGTTCAATTCCCAATACCAGGGGCAAAAAATACCGTCAAGCACAGGCTTGAAAATGGCAAACTATGATCACTTAATTTGTCAACTGTAACCATAGTTATATAACAAAAATCTAAAATATCACACAATCATATATAGTGAACATCCACTCAGTAGAGTGATTTTACCTTAATGAGCGAAAATTTTAAAGTGGTAAGAAAATAAAATAGAGAAATAAAAGAAGAGAAAGCGATTAGAAGCAAGGGTGAAAGACTATTATTCCCAAGTAAAACAACAAAAGCAATGATTAAGGCATAATTGATATCTAACCCTGAGAGGACTATCATGTACACCCCAAACCGAAGACAATCTATAAAATGTCTAGTCAGTATTCCACAATATTTTGAAAAATTCGGAGAAATGTCAACCTGTAAAGAATCCCAAGGATATTTGTTTGTTTATTTGTTTGTTGAGGTAGGGTCTCATTACGTAGTTCAGACTGGCCTTGAGCTCACGATATAACTCAGGCTGGCCTTGAACTGGCAGCAATCATTCTAACTCAGCCTCCTGAGTTCTGGGATTACTGGCATGAGCCACCATGCCTGGCCAAGGATATATGTCAAATAAATGTAATGAAACATCCTAGATGGGACCCCAAAACACAAGAGCAATGGTAAATAAAAACTATGCACATGCAAACAGTTCATTTGAACTGTTACTTGGTGCTCTGATTATTCATGGGGAATTGATTACAGAATCCCCTTGAATATCAGAATCAGTGGGTACTCAAGTGCCTTATGTAAAATGTTGTCTATTTATCACCTACATACATCCTCCTGGGCACTTTACCGTCTCCAGATTATTTATAAAACGTTATATTATGTAGTTATTATTGTATGTATATTATTAGTAAATAATGAAAGATTCTGTGTGTTTCACACAGTACCTCTTTTTTTCCAAATAGTTTCCAACAGCAATTGGTTGAACCTATATTTCAAAACATATGGACACAGGAAGTGACTGTGTATACCTATTACTGCTAACAAACATTGTATCACAATGTATGATTTGAATACTGGGGAGCCCGAGGTGGGACATACAACAGATTTCTATATTCCAGCTTTTCTTTACATCTAAAACTGTTCTAACATAATAGGCTTATATTTTAAAACTCAAAAGTAATATTTAGGATATCTAAACATGATATTATAATGTTAATGCAGATAAATATATTTTATTAAAATGTATACACAGATGATTTTTAAAAGAAAAAGCAGGCACTGAGCACACTGGGAAGAGGTGCTTCACCATGCGATATGAGAGGCACCATCTGACAGCTAATTAGAGCTGTACTTTACCTCTCACCTCAGCGCTCCCACTGCTAAAATCCTCCCACACCCTGAGCTAACAAGAGCTTCAGGATCCAGCACAGGCACAACCTCCAGCTCCTATCATTTTTCTGCTCCCAGGATCAGCACGAGCAATGGCAGCCGCATGTCCCCGGGGCCTGGGCTGTGCTGATGACCGGTTTCAGGTCGTGCGGTGCCAGCACTGTGGGCAGATCCCTGGTGAGAGCCACCCCAGTGTCACCTGATAATGTGGCAGGCTGTTTGTGACAGAGGAAGCCCCCTAAAAGATGAGGCCAGGGCAGGATTCCATGCTGACAGTGCCATACAAGGAGTGTACAGGAGTGAATCCCCTCTGCAAACACCAGTGCCAGCAGAGACAGCAGAACGGGCCCATGGGGAACGGAAGAGCAACCCAGGGGGGAAGGCAGAGGGTGCCAGGTGCTCAGGTCCAAGAAAGATGGTGCTGTAGAAAAGAGTCGATCAATAACCCTGGGTACTAGCAGAAGTTCCAGTGAGAGGAAACTAAAACATAACACGAAAATCATTGCAAGAACACCGGAGTGACACGGCGAAGGGTGATTCCAGCCTGAAAAGGGATGAGCAGCAAGTGGAAGCAGAGGAAAAGAGAAAGAGTTGTGAAAATTTTCAAGCATATAGCCGGGTGTGGTGCTGAATGACGTAACCCCAGCACGTGGGAGGCTGAGGCAGGAGGATCGCTGAGACCAAGGGAGATCCTGTCTTAAACAAAGCAAACCAAAACAAAACAAAAGCATAATAGAAAACTTAAAGGTCCAAAGGTGTAGCTCAGTGGTAGAGCTCTTGCCTAGGTTCCATCCCTAGCACTGAAAATAAGCAAACAAAAAACCTAGCAAATTGAAAGTGTAATACAATTCTCATTTGTATATCTATCACATAACTACTTAACCTGGACTTAACATACATGGAAATGGTTATAGGAGCAGGATGGCCACAGGCGTGGAGGAGTGCAGGGCAGCAGGTGACCTGGGACTCCCCTCTGATGGCTTCGGTTGTGATGGAAGAATGAAATCTCCCGCTGAGAGCGGAGCACAGTGCCTCGCAGATGCCGAGGTCAGGGCCCCGTCAGCGATGCCGGTGTCTGCTTAGCACTGAGGGCCCCCAGTGAACAGGGGCGGCCGCCTCCTGGTTGTGAGATCCCCCAACACTCCCAGCTGCCAGAGTGAAGTCCTGGAGAAACTGATCGTGGGACCTCCTTCCTGGGCTGAGATCAGGGATGTGGTTCGGCTGGAGTGGAGCAGGTCCTTGGGGACAAAGCCGCCACATGGTGAGAGGCCAGGGAGACAAACTGCCCTCTGCGCAGACCGTGAGGCTGCCCAGCTGAGAGACTCAATGGGAAGATACAGGCAGCCGAGCTAGCGTCCCCGGCGCTGGGAAGAGAGGGCTGGCAGGTGGCAGGTGACAGCAACCAGCAGGGACAAGTCCAGTATAACATAAACTGCTGTTGCAGGCACACACCTGTCATCCCAGCAGAAGGCAGCAGGGGAGGCTGAGGCAGGAGGATTGCGGGTTCAACATCAGCTTGGACTACCTAGAGCGATCTGTGTTTCAAAAACAAAAGGCTAGCCTGGGACAGAAGGCTGTTTTAAGCAGAAATTGGGGGTGGCAGGGGGAGGAGGTGTCTGGAGGCGGCAAACAGGAGCCGAGTGCTGCGGGCCCTCACCTAGAAGAAAATAAACAGCTCTCCTTTCAGAAGCTCGCGGAGCGGGCGGGGCCCTCCAGGGAGGGTTAAATTTCAGCGGAAGCAGACCGGCGAGGGAAAGCGTCCGAGAAGTCCAGGGAATCAGGGGCGGGCTGGAGAGGGGCCGGCGGCCGCGGGTCGGCAGTGGTGCTGTTAAATGAAGGGGACAGTGCCCTGGCTCTCCCCCGCTGTTTCCCCTAAGGATGTGGCTGGAACCGCGGCTCTGCCCACACCCAAATCCCAGCCTGCCGGGCACTGGCTGCCTGCACTCCCCTGAGGTCTCAGGGCTCCATTTCCTCTCCCGTAAATGGGGGTGACAATAGTCCCTGCTTCGCGAGGTTGCTCTGACACTTCCGAAGCTGAGTGCTGCTGTTGTTTTGGTGACCCCCCCCCCCCGCAGTTCCGCGATTGAAACCAGGATCTTTACACTGAGCTGCATTCCCAGTGCTCACCTTCCTCCCTTTTCTTTTTCATTGCCCAGGCCAGGCTCCAGCTTGCAGTCCTCCTGCCTCGGCTTCCAGAAGTGCTGGGGCACTGCCTGACACTCGCAGCCCAGGCCAGCAGCCCCTGCTCACCCCAACTCTGGCTCCCCTCTGTAGGAAACGCGAGCAGCAGCAACATGGACAGGAACACGAGTTTGATCAGCAGTTGCTGGGGCCGTGAGAATTACACTCAGGCCCCACGGGATGACATTTCAGTGCGCCGCGGGCCACAGGACAGTGGCGGTTCCTAAGACTGCAAAGGAGCTGAAAACTTCCCACCGCCTGGGGGCGCTCTGCACCTGCCGCCCTGCGGTGGTCCCGGAATGCAGCCCAGGGCTGGGGATACAGCTCGGTGGCAGAGCACTGTCCTAGCGTGCATGAGGCCCTGGGGTTTGACACACAGCACTGCAAACTCAAAACAAAGAAACAGCCAGGGGGGTTGAGCGAGGGGGGCTAGGGCGTGGCCAAAACTGGCCCGGAAGTAGGCGTGACCTGTTAATTACAAGATCCCAGACCAGGGGCAGAACAGTCCCCCAAGTGGACTTCGGAGAACTGGGACAGGTTTCTAGCAGGATGCTAGACCTGACTTCAGCAGTGGGATCCCAGCACCGGGTCTCAGAGCTCGTATTAGGAGAGAGCGTAAGAGGACACACTGACGCCATGAAGGTTTCGCTACCCTAACTTGCCAAATCGCTCAGTGCTTGTGTCTTTGCTCTCGTCCTCTTTTTGTCTTGGCCCAACCCCGGTCTGCAGAGCCAAGTTCTCCCCGCCACATATCATTCTTCCCTTTAACTGTGCCCAGTAAACTTTGCCACTGCTTTTTACTTGCTTTGTACACTTCTTTGTTCAAGGAGAAAGAATCTGGAATCTAGGCCAGGACAGGCAAGCAACCTGAACCTCGTACCATCTCTCTGATGAGCCACTTTTAGAAGCAGGCTTCTGGTAACAGGGGGACGCATACCTTTTATCCAAGCATTCTGGGAGGCTGAGGCAGGAGGGTCACAATTTCAAGCCCCACCTGGGTGACTTGGTAAGTGCTGGTCTCAAGATAAAAAATTTTAAAAAGCTGGGGACATAACAGCATAAGGGCCCGGGTTCCATCCCCAGCGCCCATAAAAGCACAGTGCTACCTTGGTTCATGAACATTTTGTTTGTAAACAATTTTGTTGGCAAACAGAAGCATTTGACAAAATTTTGTTTTTGTCTGCAGACTGCGTCGGGTGATGAACACGACCGTGGGCACCTTTCCCACTCGAACAGGAACAAAGTAAGCTTAGGAACGGAGGTTCCGCTGTAGACAGCGGAGAATCCAGTGCACATCACACGCAATTACGTACAGTACGTAATACTCGACAATGCTTCTGTCAGCCCACTCGGGGGGCCCAGGGGAGATTTTCCAGGGTGAGGTCCTCAGGTTGAAGAATGCTTGTGTGCAAGACATCAGCAACCACAGCAGGCAGCGTGGAGCAGGGCAGAGCCAGAGCAGCCTGCGTCTTTATTGTAAAACTCTCACACAGGTGGTCACCTCATGTTTACATTGTTACACAGCGCTGTACCCAGCGCATGCGTGTTCACCTGTGCTGTCACGGTTATGTAACTGTATCCCACTGTGCACCTGCGCACCACAAGCAGGGTCACATGCTCAGGCATCGTTAGACGCCCCTGAACCTTGAAGCAGTCCACGTGGTTCCCCACGCGGACTTACCTATTTAGGATCCTATACTTTTGACTTCTTTTTCAGTACTGGAGATTGAGCCCAGACCTTATACAAGTTAGGCAAATGGTCTATGGCTGAGCTATACCCCAGCCCTTATTATTATTATTACTACTATTATTATTATTATTTTAGAGTATGCTCCTTCTACTTCTAAAAGAAGTTAATGAAAAGCGCCATTTTACACTGGCAGCACCCCGTACATCCCGTGTTCACTTGATCTCTTCATTGTATCATAGCAAACACATATTTAAAGTCTACAGATACCGTGGAACCACATATATACCACTGTGTGCAGTTGTGTGATAGACCATAGCATCCAGGTTCATGCAAGTGTGCCCCACGATGTGTGCACAATGTCGCCTAACAATTCATAGCCTGAAGTTACACATGATGCACATAGAGACACCAAAGTGTGACACCTGTGATCTCTGGAAAAATAAGTTTTTGGGCAACAAATAGCTGATGTCCCCACAAGTGGGATCCAGACAAGATACCATAAAGTAAGTGGGGCATGGTGGTGCACTCCTGTAATCCCAGTGTTTGGGAGGCTGAGGCAGGAGGATCGTTGCATGTTTGAGATCAGCCTGGGTTACAAAGTAAGTGAGTTCAAGGCCAACCTGAACTTCATAGCAACATCCTGTTTCTTTTTTTTTTTTTTTGTCTTTTTCCTGGTACCGGGGATCAAACTCACGACTGCCTGCTTGCAAGGCAGGCACTTATGCCACTGAGCTAAATCCCTAGCCCCACAACATCCTGTCTCAAAACAAAAAAAGAAAGGAAAAAGATCCCATAAGGTTTTCCAAGGCTACTGAAGATTTTGCTGCTGCCTATCAGGCCACTTAAGACTTTTCTAATGAGGCACCCAGTTCTCCTGCAAATGTACAAGAAATCAATGCCAAAAATGTGGAGGAATTTGGACAAAGAAAATCTTTGGCCAGTCATGGTGTGCACACTTGTAATCCCAGCACTCTTGGAGGCTGAAGTAGGATTGCAAATCCAAGCCCTGCCTGGGCAATTTAGTAATCCAACGAGACAGTATATCAAGATAAAGCCAAAATTTTTTTTTGTCTTTTTCGTTTTTATCGGTACCAGGGATCGAACTCACGACTGCCTGCTTGCAAGGCAGGTGTTTATGCTGCTGAGCAAATCCCCAGCCCCCAAAATAAAGCAAAATTGAAAGGGGCTGAAGATAATGTCCAGTGCAATGGTTAGGTGGGTATGGGGAAAATAGAAATCAAATGGAATCAAATCTGGACTTGGTGGGAGGATTACTGCCAGTTTGAGGGCAGCCTGGGCTACACAGTGAGTTCAAGGCCAGCCTGAACTGCATAGTGACACCCTGTCCCACCAAAACAAAAACAAAAACAAAAAAGTAATCAAAATGATTTCATGTTGAAGAACAGAGAAATACCAATGGATGTACGTCTGCTTTACCTGCTAACAATACAATGCATAAATTTGTACTGTTTATGTCCAAATTGGAAATTATTATGAAAAATCCTTAGAAGAATTTAAGATTAAACCATGCAAAGATAAAAGAAAAAAATCTTACTGAGATGGGCTTTTTTTTTTTTTTTTTTTTTTTTGGTCTTTTTGACACAGGGTCTCTCTATGCAGTTCAGTCTGGCCTTGAGCTCACTCTGTAGCCCAGGCTGGTCTGGAACTTGCAACAATCCTCCTGCCTCAGCCTTCCGAGTGCTGGGATTACAGGCATGAGCCACCACGCCTGGGTGATGGGCTTTGTTTTTATGGGAAAAAGGAATTAAAGTTTCTGGATAGAGATGAAATTAGGGACTACAAATTATAAGTCAAGATGGCGAAATTTCAACCAAAGGGGTAATATGCTGCCTAAAAACAGAAGTGCTGGGATGAAGTAGCTGTGTCAGCAATAAACACAGTGGGGGCTACAGCCCTGAGAGGAGCCGGGGGGCCATCTGGACAGCGCCATCAGAGTTGCTATCAACAAAAATATGCTTTGCTCAGGATGAGCCATGGGTGGTTTGTGAGATCAGTGGGGACCTTGGATTACAGTGTCAGAGTGGGGACACGTAGGAGGCTCCTTCACAGTGACAGACATGTAGAGGGTGAGGACTTTGTGGCCCTGAGGAATTCGGAGCCTTGCATTTGAATCCTCCATGGAAAGTGGTTTGGCAGCCCAGGTCCTGAATGAGATCCTGCAGAGAACTTCAGACAGCTCAAGCATAAACATAGAAACACAAAAATGACACTTTGGGCTGGGGATTTAGCTCAGTGGCATAAGCGTCTGCCTGGTAAGCATGAGGTCATGAGTTCAATCCCTGGTACCAAAATAATAATAATAATAATAATAATTTAATTAAATTAAAAATGGTGGTCTGGTCCAGCATGGTGGCATGTATCTATAGTTCTAACACTTGAGAGGATGAGGGTAGAAGATAAATGGGTGCTTGAGGGCAGCCAGGGCTACATAGTGGTTCAAAGCCAACCTGGATTATAGAGTGAGATCCTGTTGCAAAAAAAAAATAAAAATAAAAAGAATACACACACACACACACACACACACACACACACACACACACATTCCTAAGTAAAATTTATAGAAATCCTCAGAAAGGAGGAGAAGGAAAATCAGAGATCAGGGATGACCTTAGGACAGTTAACCAAGCCTAAGAATGACCATGAAGTCTAGAAGGTTTTTCTTATTTTTTGCTTGGTTGTTTTTTCCGGGGGAACTGGGAATTAAACCCAGGGCTGTCACCCTGGGTTACATCCTTAGCTCTTTCTTATTTTTTATTTTGAGGCAAGGCTTCTCTAAGTCACTAAGTTGCTCAGACTGGGCTGGAACTTGAGATCCCCCTGCCTCAGTTTCACGCAGTGCTGGGGTTAAGAATGTGCACCATCACCGGCTGGCAGTTTTCTGCGGAATGGAAAACATGGAGAGGAAGAACTGGAATCGCCTGTGGGCACCAGCACAGGGCCATAAAAAGAGCTGAGATGCTGCCTTCCAGTGCTCAGTTTGCAGGACTCACACTGGACTGCTAGTGAGGCCAACCAAAGGCTGAGGACCCCAGAGGCCAAAGCCCCGGACACTGGGAGCCAGCACACCCTGCCCTGAGGAAAGAGAGGCCAGCAGCAGGCTGGGCATTCAGAGGGAAGGGGAGCCCGCCAGGCTGCTTCTGCGTGTGCGGTTAAACTCCGGTATGTGTGGAACAGGGTGGGTGGGCAGGGCCTGCACCACGGGGAGACGCATTTGGCCACCAACATTGTTTTACACCTGCTGATGTGCAGTAACAATAAAAGGCTGGTTTGGGAATTGTTTTTATTTTTGCTGCAGACAGCACACCTGCTTACTGCCTGCACCCAGCCAGCTGCCCTCTGATACAGGAGGAGACTTACAACTTCCAACCCAGCAGATGTCAGGTGTGCCCAGCTCATGTGCCTTGAAATCAGAGAATGAATACAGGCCGAAGGAGGTGAGGAGGAGGACAGGTTTAGTGGGGAACAGGAATAGCTCTTGAGACACTGGAGAGGTCCCCAGGGAGTTGCTCCCTGAAGTCATTTCTCTGAGAAAATTCCAAGGTGGGCACAGCGTAGGTCAAACTATAATTGACCAGTGCGATTACAAATATAGCCCCTCAACTAATATTGATTCAGGGAAGCCGGGCACATAGCAAGGGCATATGAATGACATCATTAACTCTAGCCAACCAGCTAT